CGACTCCTTTTGACTTATTTACGATTTTCACTGTTTTTCACGTGTGAGCTATCTTTTAGTGTGTTCAGTGTTTCATGCCGCTACTTCTCGATGCTCTCCACCTTTGGTTGGGAAGGTTGGCTTTTTTGTCAGGAAAAGAGTTGGGTAAAATTAATCTTTTTTATACTTGCCAGGTTTGTGGACTAAAAGGCAAGTGCACTCTCGGTCCCTTGATCACTGCGCTCTGCAGGAGAGAGGGTGGAGTCCGATAGCCGGAGATGTTAACCTCGTCCTGCGCTAACTACCTCGATGTGTTGTGAGTTTGGATACGCCATTGCCGTTCAAATCGATTTTTATCCTCACAAACGAAATGGGTACCCCGAATGCTTTTCTCATGTGTCTACACGGAGCAGAGTTCAGATATTCGAAAAAGTCTTAATGTGCAGATGTTGCTTTACAGCTTGAGAAATCGCTGAAATCTTTACATTTCAGTGCCAGCGTATTTGGAAATCCGTTTGTTGATTCTAAGGATCGTCAATCAGTAAGCCATAACAGCAAATGTTCCCCGAACTGAAAAATTTTACTGGATCACTTAGAGTCTTAGTACTTTCCCTGCACGCTGATATTTTCCACGTTTATTGCTCATTATTCAGAGCTTGTTGGCATCATTTCGAAGTGAGTCAAGCTTTAAGTTTAACGTTTCATATAAAAACCTGATTGTGAAACGCAACGACTACATCTGTTTATGTTTGTTGGTTTTGCTGTTTTGCCATCATCATCATAAGCGGAAAGTTTTTGAGTGGTCCGTAAATTCAACTGCTGATCATAAACTCTAATATATCCAGAGTAACAAGGGAAACTGGACGCTGCTGACGGGAAAACGTTAGAGCGGTAACAGGTTATGCAGGGTTCCAGAGAGCACTCAGCCGAAACACTTCCAGTCGAAATAGATGATTCAGTGTTTCTTCGATATGAGAGCTGAACTAATGAACCAGCGTGATTAGTCGTTTCTTTGTGATCGAATCAACGATATGATTACGGTATTTTGATCATGAAAGTCTTTTCTGTGATAGTGACAGAAATGATTGAATAAGATGACAAAAATTGAGGATCTTTGGAAGGATTGTACGATTAAGCACATACATGCGATCTAGATTTTCACAGATTTCCTCGTTCAGAGGATGAACTGTTTTCTCCTACATTTTACATTCGTTCGTGTGATTGTTTCCTTCCTTTTGCTTCCCGTTAGTGTTATAGTGGGTGTTTCTTTCCTATATTGGTCTTCAAGTTTAAACGTCGTACTTCATTCGACGGTTTGAATCATGTGATCACAGATCCTTCCTGTTTCGCATTATAGAGATCTATGAGTATTCAAACTTTATTATGTAACAGTGGCACTCAAAAGCAGTTTGTCAAAGTTCACTGAAAGATTTTGTATAGGTTCAACATGATATCGGAAGTATTTCACACACGAATTAGACGAAACACGACTTAAACTGTAACGCGACAGAGGCATCAGTTACAGGTCATTCTTTACAAAACGTACCTGCAGGAAATCGTTGGGCTCGACATTTCAGCGGTTTTCATGTGGCTCTCCTGTCCAATGCGTAACCTAGTCTTAACCGTGCTCCGGCGAAGGACGACTATTTGGCACATGACGCTTCGGATCAGGTGAAGAAGTTTTTTGGTCTTAGAATCGTAGATAAGCCGTCTAAATTCACGGCGATCGTAAGAAGTGGATTGCCATGAAGCGTCGTCATAATTGAAAGCATAGGAACATTTTGGAGGGGGAATTTTCAGAGTATCCAAAACTTTTATATAAAGCAGCAGTGTTATTACACAGCAAATAATTGTCGCCAACTGTTCTGATCGCATGATGAAGTACGACTTTCAATAAGTTTACGTCATACAGTTTCCCTATCTTTAGGAGGAGTGTACTCCATACCTTGGTCGTACGGTTGCAACACATAAACCTAAAATAACCATCATTTTCACAATAGATCAATTCAAATATTACCTTATCCGTTGTCAACAGCTTAAGGTCAGCAGGGGGATTTGTGATAACGTATCGTTTGGTTGAATCTGGAGAGACCAAGTCATGCAGTCGATACAGTCCGATGCATAACATGCCGTGATTTTTCAACGCCACGCTGAGCATCTGTCCGTAGGTAGAGCCGACCTTAAATGGCATACACACATCACGGGGTTGGCAAATAGAATGGGCGACGACTAACCTTAATTCCCTGAAACGGCGAATCCGCCAAAGCGATCTGTGCCACTCTACAACGGTCGCGATTCATCATCGTTTCCGGCGTTGAATAACCACCCCGTAGACCCGCACCTTCTGCCAGGATCAGCTCCAGCTCTGGAGTAGCGCCTCCGGTGACCAAGGTGCGGATCAGCGTCAAGGCTGAGTCATTGAAATACGTCTTAAGCACACTAGTCGAAGCTACATATTGACGCGCAACAAGTGAGTGATATACCGTACTCATCAGCGAGTCGAGAACGCTGATCGCGAACGCCGTGCCGCACGCGAATGGTTGGGTCAGGTAGAGCTCAGTATCGGGGTCGTCGTCATCGTCCTGATCGAGAAACTGTACATTTGAGTCGTGAACTAGAAACAACACTGTAAGGCTGACGTCTCTGGTGGTTGATAAAGTGAAGACCAAAACAAATAATAATCAAAAATTCTACCCAGTTCAGTGATCATTGGCACTTGAGTACCAAACATAACCGGGTGTCGTTGGAAGCTTACGGGCGAACCCAACGGCGACGAGCTGCTGAAAGCCTGCGGATAAAACGACAAAGTGTCGTCGAACTGCATCGCCTTGATATTCAACGACGCCAAAATCGACTCCTTGTCTGCCAAGGTCGGATCTTCGGACGGGTTCGGTATTCTTGCCGACAGGATCACACACATGTCACACATGTTGATGTTTACCGCTCTGAGGTCTGCACGACTGAGAGGGGAACCCTAGAAGGCCAGTCAGAGGTTTGAATGGGAGCGCGTACTACAGCGCAACAACTGGAGGTACTCACGTTCAGAATGGAAATCTTCGGTAGGTTGTACAGCGTCTTCCACTCGCGCCTCAAGTAGTCCACGTCGCCGACGATAACGACATGCTTCAGTTCATGGTAGTGGAAGTTGGACGCCCGTAGGGGCATGACAAAGTTCCTAATGCCGATCAGCGGGCTGTCCTTCTCAGCAAATAGGCACACGACTACGTGACCGTTCAGCACCGTCATTGCAGCTTGGTTACGGTCCTGAAACGATGTTACGCCGCTTTTCCCATAGTTCGCAAAAATGACCACTGCGTACCAAGATGCACTCTTCTATCGGCCTTGCCTGGCACCAGTGAAACATGCCCGTGATGTCGTACTTGATTTGCTGCTGATCGAAGTCTTTCAGGCATTCGATACTCATCAGATCGAACGACTCAACAAATGATGGCGTGCGAAGGCTTTTACAGCTAAAACGCATACAATGGAAAACTGTAGTCACGGCTTAGAAAATACGTAAGCCTTTACATATCCACAAAGGGACAAAAAACTTCACTGAAAACGCCTAAGGTTCCGCTTAACCCATAAGACAGATGAGATAGGATTACTTACTCGCTTTCCAGCTCGGAATCACAAGGAATCAGGCGCAATTGAGGCGACAGTCTCCCTTCATGTGTCTTTCGACTCAGCTCGTTGTAATAAATCTGAGACAGGGAACATCGCTTGCCTAAAGAATAACAACTTCAATCTATGATTCGCGCTTTAAGTTGCAAATGTGCTTAGAGTACACTGCTTCACATCTAAAAATCAACAAGTACCATTTACCTGCTACAAGTACCATTTACCTGTTTACTCCCATCAGGAGTTTGAAATA